ACTGTGGTTTTGATTTGCATTTCCCTGATTATTAGTGATGTTGAGCCACCTTTTCGTATATCTGTTAGCCATGTATATGTCTTCTTTTGAGAAATGTCTATTGAGTTCCTTTGCCGATTTTTAAATTGCTGTCATTAATTAATAATGGCAAAAAAATTTTAATTTGTCCATCTTTTTGCTGTTGAGTTGTTTGAGTTAATATTTTAGATGTTAACCTGTTATCAGATATATAATTTGCAAATATTTTCTCCCATTCCGTACATTACCTCTTTATTTTGTTGATTTTTCCTTGCTGTGCACAAGCTTTTACTCATGTAGACCCACCATTTTGTTTTATTTTTGTTTGTGCTTTGGTATCATATCCAAAAATTTCTTACTAAGATGCATATGCTCTTTTTTGAAGTGCCTATTCAAGTGTCTTGCCTATTTTTCCATTATGTTGGTTTCCCTTTGGTGTTTAGGAGTTCTTTGTATATTCTGGATAGAAGCCTTTTGTTAGTTACATGTGTTCTAAATATATTTTGTCTTTTAGTGGCTTGTCCTTTTAAACTTGTCCTTAAAAATGCCAACTGTAAAGAAAAGGACTGAATAAATTGGACTATAATAAAATTAACAACTTCTCTTCAAAAAATGCCATTTAGTAGAATGTTGAATAGAAGGGTCATGTTTTTGATTCAAGGGAGTAAATGTATCATGTTAACTCAAGTCTTTTTTGAAAATACCCATTTTCAGATTAAGGAATTCCCTTCTAGTCTTATTTTATAAATAGTCATTAAATTTTATCTCACCCTTTTTCTGACTTAATTAAGATGATTGTATGATTTTTCTCCTTGATTATATTAATGTAACAAATAACATTGATTGATTTTCAAATATTAAGCAGGCCTTGTCAATATTATCACTTTTTTTTCATTGTTACCAATCTTACAAGTTAAGATTACATTTGTGATTTTCTGATTGTGAGTGAATTTCATCATGTCACAGTCTTTTGGCCATTTTGCTTTGCTTCTCTGTAAATTGTGTGTATATTCTTTGCCTTTTTTATATTACATTTCCAATTTTTTTTCTTGTGAATTTTTAATCTGGTATAAATAACCTTTATCTAGTATATCATCACAGTTTTTTCCCACCCTCTGCTATTTCACTTATTTTTATGCTATTTTTGGCCATACAGAGTTTTTTTTTTCTTTTTTTAAAATTTTCATGCAAGTATATCTTTTCTTTATATCTTCTGAATTTCCTTTATTGGGTGAAAAATTTGGCAAATCTTTGGATTAGATAGATAGATAACAGGCATGTGTACACATTTGCATGCATGTACGTATATAATCTTTAACCTACTTGGAATTCTAAAATATTTTCCTTGGTTGTTTTTAGTTTACTTTTTCTATAGTAGTATTTTTTAAAATAATTAAGTTATTTATTTATTTAATTTTGGCTGTGTTGGGTCTTTGTTGCTGTGCGCAGGCTTTCTCTAGCTGCGGCGAGCACGGGCTACTGTTCATTGCAGTGTGCGGGCTTCTCATTGTGGTGGCTTCTCTTGTTGTGGAGCATGGGCTCTAGGTGCATGGGCTTCAGTAGTCATAGCCTGCGGGCTCAGTAGATGTGGCTCGCGGGCTCCAGAGCGCAGACTCAGTAGTTGTGGCGCACGGACTTAGTTGCTCTGCAGCATGTGGGATCTTCCCGGACCAGGGCTCGAACCCACATCCCCTGCATTGGCAGGTGGACTCTTAACCACTGTGCCACCAGGGAAGTCCCGTCCTTGGTTGTTTTTAGACAATTATTATTTCAAAGGAATTTTAAGTTCACTTTATCTAATTGAGTATTATGATTAGAATTGTATTACATTTGTATATTGATTTTTGGAATTTTTTTTCTTTAAATTTTTGGCTGCACCCCGCGGCATGTGGAATCCCCGACCAGGGATCGAACCCACACCGCCTGCATTGGAAGGCGGAGTCTTAACCACTGGACCACCAGGGAAGTCCCCATGATTTTTGGAATTTTTTTTATTTCAAGAATTTAAGTATGTCTTTCTTTTTGCACCAGTCTTGTTCTGTGTTTTTCAGTAACATTTTGTTTTGTTCGTTTAAGTTCTAAAACCTTTTTTGGTAAATTTATTTTTATACAATGGGTATATTTTTGTCTTTATTATAATATAGATGATGTATTTTTTCCATTTCCCTAGGTTGTTATTTCTCGTTAAAATAAAACTATTCTTTCTGTTACCCAGCTATGTAAAATTTTATAGCCAGACTCCTTACTGAATTATTTCATTAAATCTATTAAGGTTTTTTTTGACATCGTAAATCTTATAAATGTGCAGATTATCTCATCAGTAATAAGAAATAGGGTTTTTTGTGCAGTATTTATTTGATTATTCCCTTTCCTTCTCACTGCATTGTTAGACCCTCCAGAGCAATCTTCAGTAATCATAGTGCAGTCTGGCGTCCTTGTTCCTGGTTTTAATAGACATTATTTTATAGCAGAACACTTAGACTGAATGAGCAGAGCACAGATGTGACCTCTGCCACTGTCACATTGTCGATGAGGCTTGGTGAAGGGAAGATGTTCCAGAACATGGGGAGCACTGTAGTTCTGTTCTCATTGACCAGGAAGAAGTAAGAAGTAAAGCAGCTCAGAAGCACCTGTACACAACTGCTTTTCCTAAGGAGTTAACTGAACCAGGCAGTGCCTGCTAGCCCAGTGTTATAGAAGGACATGGGCAACACCAAGGCCCCACCTGACTTCAGTGATGATGAATTGAAGTTGGGACCAGGCAGCAAGGTTCTGTGTTTTTCTCCAACTGTTCCAGCCACATGTGTTCAGACACGACAGGCAGAAGATGGAATTGATGTGGAGTTGGGGTTTTGCCGTGAATACCGTGAGTTGAGGATGTATGGAAGAGAATGTTTTTAATGATGGGCTGTAGATGGATTTTAATGGGGACGATGGGGAGAGAAACCATGGTAGGATCAGTGCATTTTAGGTCCTGGTCGGGTAACATTCTTTAGAGTTGGGGTAGTAGAGGAAGGTGAGTGGAAACACAGGATGTTGGGAATTAGAAGGTGGGGTATTTAACAGTGAACTTTTTGAGGAGCTGTACTGAATGACAGGATCTCCAAGATGTGAGCATTAGAGTGACCGAGGGAGGGAGAAGAAAACATCATGGAGATGTACTGACCAGCCCAGATAGATACAGGAAGGCTTATTGGTGTAGACAGAAGTCCAGCAGATTAGCTAAGACAGAATGGGTGTTAGGGGGGCTCCCAGTAGTGAGCTGGAAAGGAGCTTCTCCAAGGAATGGACGGGACTGCCCTGGGCATCTTCCAGGTAACTGCAGTCATCTTTCTGAGCTGAATCCATCCTCTCCTGGTGTCAGTTTAAAGTATGGGAAGTCTCTGAGCAATTACCAGAAACACACAAAAACAGTTAGTTCATAATTTTAAAAATATCATTTGGACATAAATATATCATTGTGACATTTATATATATATGTAAAAGTTTCATGTAAAGGAAAAGGCAAGTAAGCCACCTTAGAAATGTATGTTAGCCACCTTAGAAATTTATTTTTATTTGTTTATTTGTTTTACCACTTGGTTTTTTTAGCTTTATTGACTATTACCAAGTTTCAGTCTGTTTCAAATAATTACTGCAACTGGGACATTAAAAATACAAACCAACATGCCAAAATAATTGTATTCTGAATGTTATGTACAATATTATATATTTTATATTATATAAAGCGTTTTATACATAAAGGTAAGATTTGATTTATGATTATTGAAAATTCAAAAATATGTTTGAACAAAACACTCCTATGCATACATACACAATAACTCAACTGGGATAATCAAAACCATACATGAGTGTGGTTATTAAAAAATAAAATTACATTCATACAACAATGGTAGAAATTGAAATCTTTTTATTAATTTGAGAGTATTATTACAGCATCACACACATATGAATGATGTAACCTAATTCCGTATATTTAAGAATCTTTATGCTTGACACTGAAATATGTCTCTATCCCCTGGGAAATTTTTGATTTAAAATTTTTTTATTTTAAGGGATTTTTATAATTCATAATCATTAACATGTCTATCCATGGGCATAATGCAGACCCAATCCCAGCAAATAGAAAAGTCATGCGGGTCAACCATATCACATGTGTATTTCACCATAGTTTTAGAAAAATATCCTATTCAATTGTACAGTTTGGTCATGCTTCATAGCCATGCTTGTCATCAGTGATTACAGATGAGGCACAGAGCTTAGAGGGGAATATATATTGCTGTAGAAAACTAGGTACTAGAGCAGCGGTATCACTGGGTGCTCATGTGGAGAACACCACCCAGACACGCTAAATTAGCTCTTAACCTAGGTGTCAGACTTTCAAAAAGGTTAGTGCACTGATGTGTACTAACTTGCTTGGGTTTTTTTTGTTTTTTTGTTTTTGCGGTACGCGGGCCTCTCACCGCTGTGGCCTCTCCTGTTGCGGAGCACAGGCTCCGGACGCGCAGGCTCAGGGGCCATGGCTCACGGGCCCAGCCGCTCCACGGCATGTGGGATCTTCCCGGACCGGGGCATGAACCCGTGTCCCCTGCATCGGCAGGCGGACTCTCAACCACTGCACCACCAGGGAAACCCCTAACTTGCTTTAATGCTGAAATGTCTAAGTCCAGAATACTTGTCAAGTGAGTTTTAGTACTATCTCACTTTTAAATTTAATGAGAGCTGTGATTTTAAGTAAAGGCAAACATTTTTCTAACTGATCTGAAAAGCCTGAAAAACAATGTCTTTATAACAAAAATGCCTTTCCAATTTGAATTGTGTGGCTATCATGTGCCTTAATCATTTATTAATTTCTAGTACATTACAGAACTTACCCAGTAATTACCTGCTGTAATAACAAACTTTGTTCTAAGTGCTGTTACAGACAAAATTCAAGTCACTTTGAGAATGTAGCATGATTTTTCATCTTTTTGTTGTTTCAGAGATTTCTCCTCAAGGGGAGGAGTGCAAACCCTTAATTACTGGCGAAGAAAAAATAAAATGTATTTCACCTGAAATGAACCCATCAGCTACTGTTGATTCTTCTGTTGAGACAGACAGTCCAAACTTTAGTGAGCCATCTCCACAGACGGCATTGAAACCAGAAGGAAATTTGGATGGTATTGTTTTAATGGGGCAAAATGAGATTGATTTGATTTAATAATACTTTAATGTCTTCTTTATAAACAGATCTTCAAAATATGTATATATGTTTGGGTGATTCATCTCAAATTAAGTTCACTCTTTTTTCTAGTAACTGGTCTTTTTTTTTTTTTATCGCCACATAGCAAATCACCCCAAAACCTAGTGTTAAAAGAACAGCCATTTTACTCTGTCTCCTGATTTTGTGTGTTGGGAATTGAGTCAATGCCTGGCTCAGCCATGTGCTTTTCTAATCCATGTGCTCTTGTCTCTGTGATCATCTGGTCTCATGGGTCCGAGAGGGCTTAGCTGGTGTCCTGACAGGTACAGCTCAGAGGCTGGGCCCGGCTCGCCCCTTCCTCTTCATGCGGTCTCCAGGCCTTTCTATGCACTCTTTCCAGCGGGGTGGTCTGACGTCTCACAGGGCTCCCAGATCCCCAGGTGGAAGCCACTTGTACTTGTGGAAGCCGCTTGTTCTTGTAGAAGCTTTGTCATGGCAGCACCCCACCTTCAGATATGAAATTCTGTCTTACTTATCTAGTGCTACAAAGCAGATTGCTCCCCGAACTTAGTGACTTAAAAGAACTGTTTCGTTTTATCTCACACTTTCATGCATAAGGAATTGGGAAGGTTCTCCTCCTCCTTGTGGCACCAGCTGGCATCGCTCAGTGCTGTTGAGCTGTCAGCTGCACCTCCTTGGAGGGTGGGAGATGGTGTCACTCCCACTTGTGGCGTCTCGGCAGCGCTTGGCTGGGCCTGTTCCACTGCGTCCCGCCCCTTAGCCTAGTGTCAGGGCCTTGCCATGTGGTCTTTGCAGGATCGTTGAAGTTCTTTCATTGTAGCTTAGGCTTCCAGATTCCAAGGTGGAAGCTGCCAGTTCTCTTCAAGGCTGGACGTGGAACTGGCTTACAAGACTCCAGCTGTACTCAGCTGGTCCAGGCGATCTCACTGCCGGGGCAAACTCAACGAGAGGGGCAAAAGAGTCCCTTCTAGATGAGAGGAACGCTGGACACCTTGCTTCATGTGTGGTTGTCTTTAATTCACCATAGTAATTTAATAGTTACGTAAATAGTCTTATTCATTAGAATCATAGTTAACACGTACCTTACGCCTTTTCTTAAAAAGAAAGAAAAACCCTGTTAGGCATATAATAGAGGCTGTATAGCCTAGGGCAAGAGTTGGCAAACTTCTTCTACAGAGAGTCACATAGTAAATATTTTCGACTTTATGGGCAGTACCTTGACAAATCTAGTTTGTAGAATGAGTCATATTGATAGGGCTTAAGGTGTTAGAGAACAAATACTCATTTAAAAAAAATTTTAAGGATCCCCCTCCCCCAATTGCTTACCTCGTATGCATGACCAAATAATCATTTGAGTAAAAGATAAGAACTTTAAAGATTGGTACAATACCAATCATCTTTCTAAACTGGACAACTGATTGGAAACTTTTAAAATACAGAAGGAAAGAGTATCTGGATTTTAGGAAAAAAAGCGGTGGTCATGGTGGCTGAAATAAGAACTGAAGAAGAAAAAGAAAAGTTAACAAATGAAGACAGAAACCATTTCTCATTACTATTTACTTCCAGGAACTATCACCCAGTTGAAAAATGAGCTACTGCCAGAAAACAGAGGTAGTACCCTGGTTGTTAATTGTCTGAGAGTCTAGGAAAATAGATTTAGTGCACTGCAATTATGTTCTCAATATCATTGTAAAAGTCCAGGTAATGGGGTGTTTGGTGTTTTTTTGTTTGGTTTTTTTTTGATGATTGAACTTTCCCATCAGTAACAATCAATAATATCTTCTCCCCTTCCATATTTCTAACCACAGATAGTGTTGTTCTTTAAACTAGTTTTTATACCTTCAAGAAAGCAATTTACATATTACTGAAATTTTAATGAAGAGAAAATTTTTTATAATAATCAAAATACAGTGTACTGTATTTCTTTGGGGTATTTTTATTGCAGTGAAAATGCACAAGGAAAGTCTGTTATTTCAGAAACAACTAGAGAGTCAACACAGTAAGATTAAAGATCTACAGATAAAATATTAAATTTTTCATTGTAATTACTATTAATACTTTAGCCTAAAACTAGGTATGATAATTTATAGGAGGTTTATTCCATTTTCTCTAAATGGATTTTGCTTTGAGACCTCTTTCTTGTTATGTTTCACCATGCAGAGCCTGATAACTTGGAAGCAGAATTTCTACAGGAGCCAAGTAGAGCAGACGGGGACGGTGGCTTGCAATGCCCTGTACTCGACGTGTGGGTTAGTGAGATTAAAGAAGCAAAGGAGGCTGAGTACGTTACCTCTTTCTTACATTTCAAAACCTGGTCCCTTTTTGTAATATCTTTTAAAGAAATAGTGTAATAACCCAATATTATATTAAATCCTATTATAATACCTTATAAAAATAGTTTAATTTGGGAATAGATATTACATTCATGTGGTTCAGAAATCCGCAAGTGTATAAAGATAAACAGTGAAAAGTCTCTTTCCCACTTCTATCCCCATCCAGCAAATTCCCACTCTCTCCTCTTTCCAGACATGTTTAATAGTAATGAATATTAACATAAACAGAAGCAGAAGTGTATATACAGTCTCCCTCGCTTTTAAATACAGTTGTTAGTATAATGTACACATTTTTTATTTTAGTCAGTAACCTGGGAATTTTTTCATACTAACACACAGAGAGCTTCCTCTTTTTTTGTTATTTCACGGCTATGTAGTAGTCCATTGTATGAATATACTATAACTCTGATTAGTCTCCTACAGTAGTTGATACTACAAATGATGCTATAGTGGATAACCTAAATAATAAGGGTATCTTGCATGTATATAGGTACAGTCATCCCCCCTTATTCAACAGGGTTTCGCTCTTCATGGTTTCGGTTACCTGCCATCAACCACAGTCCAAAAATATGAAATGGAAAACTCCAGAAATACACATTCATAAGTTTTAAATTGTGTGGTGTTCTGAGTGGTGTGACATATCCTGCTGTCCCCATGTTTCCTGTGCAGGATGTGAACCATCCCTTCATTCAGCCTGTCCACTTGTGTGTGCTACCTGCGTGTCAGTCACTTAGTAGCCATCTAGGTTATTAGATCTGCTGTCTGGGTGTCCCAGTGCTCGTGTTCATGTGACCATTATTTTGCTTAATAACAGCCCGAAAGCACAAGAGTAGTGATGCTAGCAGTTCGGATGTGCCAAAGAGAAGCCACAAGATGCTTCCTTTAAGTGAGTGAAAGGTGAAAGTTCTCGACCTAACAGAAAGAAAAAAATCGTATACCCGAGGTTGCTAAGGTCTATGTTAAGAATGACACTTCTATCTGTGAAGCTGTGAAGATGGAAAAGGAAATCTGTGCTAGTTTTGCTGTCGAACCTCAAACTGCAAAAGTTACACCTACAGGGCTTCCCTGGTGGCACAGTGGTTGGGAGTCTGCCTGCCGATGCAGGAGATACGGGTTCGTGCCCCGGTCCGGGAGGATCCCACGTGCTGCGGAGCGGCTGGGCCCGTGAGCCATGGCCGCTGAGCCTGTGCGTCCGGAGCCTGTGCTCCGCAACAGGAGAGGCCACAACAGTGAGAGGCCCGCGTACCGGAAAAAAAAAAGTTACACCTACAGGGTGTGATAGGTGCTTAGTTAAGATGAAAAGGAATTAAATTTGTGGGTAAAAGGCATGAACAGAAAACATGATTTGGTTCTGTCCATGTTTCAGGCATCCACTGGGGGTCCTGAACTGTATCCCCCTGTGGGTAAGGGGGGACTACTGTGTATCTGGAGGATAGAGACAAAGAAGTATGATTTTATAAATGCAATTATTATTCTCCCCAGGGATTGTACTAGTTTATGCACTCAGAAAGAATGTATGAAACCTCCTGTTTTCCCCACAGCCTTGCCAAACTTTTATTACCAAAGTTTTTGATTTTTGCCAATCTGATAGGTAAAAAGTAGTATCTCAGTTTGGGGTCTTAGTTTATCTCTTTCTTTTTATTAGTAAAGTTGAGCACATCTTTTCAGATGTTTAAGTCGCATTTGTATTTCCTTTTCTGTGACTTCCCTGTTTACATCTTTGACCCATTTTTAAAATTTGGTTGTTTGGTCTTTGATACATTTAAGAACTCCTTAAATATTTGCCCTGGTTATTATGTGAATTGTAACTATTTTTTCACTGTTGGTCACTTATGTTTTATTTTTTTGCCATGCAGAAGTTTTTTGGTTGTTTGTTTTTACGTTGTCATGTTTACCTGGATTTTGATAATTATTCAGAGAAACTTTGTTTTCTCTAAGGTTTTGAAAGAGTATTTCAGTCTTTTCTTCTGGTAATTTCATGTAGGCACTTTTTACATTTACCTCTTTGATCTATTTGGAATTTATCCTGGTGTCCATGGACTCGGTTTTTCTTCCAGATGGCTACACAGTTGTCGTAACTCCATTTATTAAAGAGCCCACCTTTCCTGCACAGATTTAAAATGCCACTTTTAATATGTACTGAATTTTCTTAATTATTTGGGTTCATGCTTATACTTTATTTTCCTGTTCCATTGATCTTTGTTCAGTGTGCTGGTACACACTGTTTTAATTAAAATGTAAAAGGTATTTTAAGATCATGTAAGGCTTATTCACTTTCATCGCTCTTCTTGCCTGTATAACTTTTCATCTGAATTTAGAATTTATTAAATTTAGCCCACCTTCCCTCACATAAAAAAAATCAGTTTATATTTTATCGGGACGCTATCATAAATTAATGCAGGGACATGAACATGCTGTGTGTGTTCTTCCTGTCCAAGAAGAACAGAATAGGCCTTGTTTTATGATCAGCTTGGGAGTTTTCTTTATCTAGGCTTTGTGCTTTTATGGGTAAGCTTATTCCTAGCTTTATTATCTTTTGTTTGGTGTTGTAAATGGTGCCTGTTCCTCTGTGAGATCTTGTAACTAGAAGGTTGTATATATGAAAGCTGTGGATTTCTTTATATTGATTTTGTACCCCACCATCTTATTGGTATCTACTGTCGTTCATGATAGATTTTCAGTTGAATCTTTTGTATTTTTCAGATATACAGTCATATCATATGAAAATAATGATGGCTTTATGTCTTTCCAGTTTTTTTGTTTGTTTGTTTGTTTGTTTGCGGTACGCGGGCCTCTCACTGTCGTGGCCTCTCCCGTTGCGGAGCACGGGCTCCAGACGCGCAGGCTCAGCGGCTGTGGCTCACGGGCCTAGCCGTTCCGCAGCATGTGGGATCTTCCCAGACCGGGGCACGAACCCGTGTCCCCTGCATCGGCAGGCGGACTCTGAACCACTGCGCCACCAGGGAAGCCCTTTCCAGTATCTTTTAACACTCGTTTCTTTATCTCCAGTTGCATTGCTTAGTACACCTTTTATACAGTGTTAAATATCGGAAGTAGGGCTATCTTTGTCTTGTTCTTAATTTCAGTGAAATGATTCTAATGTTAACCCTCGTTAGGCATGACTATAATTTCTAGCTCAGAGCAGTATTTACTCGTATTTTACTGGCTAAAAAAGTCATGTGTATTTTGTCAAATGACCTTTCGGTATCTATGGATTTTGATAATTATGGAACCATTGGAACCATTCATATGGAACCATTCATATAATTGTTTTCCTTTATCTATTGGTATAATGAATTATATTAATAGGTTACCTAATACTGAACTATCCTGCATACCTTAGTAAACTCTACTTGGCCATGATGTGCTACTATTTTAATGTACTTCTGTTTGCTAATGCTTCATTTTAGGATTTTTGCATTAGTACTCTGGAGAGTCATCTGTAGTTCCCTTTCGTCATGGGGAATCACTGTTGTATTTTGGTGTTCTTTTTATCTTCCTTCTTAAAAAGTAATTGGAAGCTCCTTCCTTTGCCGTGCTTGTAACAGGGATTGTCAAATGATTTCTGTAAAGGGCCAGATTGTAAACTTTTTTGGCCGTGTAGACCATATGGTCTGTGATGCAGTTGTTCAATTCTGCCTTTGTTCTGCAAAAGCAGCCATAGGTAACACATAAACAGGTGAGCATGGCTGCTCCAGTGCAACTTTATCTGTGAAAGCAGGAGGTGGGCTGGACTTGGACATGGATGCAAAGCTGTACAAGCATGTTTATTGCAGGAGAGTCATAGGAAATCATTTGAAATAGTCTAAATAATCATTAATATGGAAGTAGCTAAAATACTGTTCTCAGTATACTGCATAGTGGGTATGCAGCACTGAAATAAAATGGAGCTCTATGTATTAATATGGAAATATGTCAAAATATTGAATGATTAACAGAATAAAATTATATTGAATAAAAAACATTTCCATATATTAGAGTAATGCTATGATAATCCTATTAAAATTATTATATATCCTTAAGTGAATAAACATGTATGTAAATTTAAGGGGAAAGTATGGTAAGATGTACACAAAACTGATAACAGTAAAGGCAACTGGGAATTGAGTGGTTAGGGGACTCCTAAAAGAATCACTTTTTTTAAATTAAGGTAAAATTTATGTAACATAAAATTTATCATTTTAATCATTTTAAAGTATGCAATTTGCCACTGTATGGTTCCAGAACATTCTCTCAACCCCAAAGGAAGCCCTGTGCCCATAAGCAGCCACTCCCCATGTTCCCCTCCCTCAGCCCCTGGCACCACTGATCTGCTTCTATCTCTGTGGATTTGCCTATTCTGGATTTGACATTTCCTGTGGAACCGTACAGTGTGTGGCTTTTTGCATCTGGCTTCTTTTACTTATCATACTGTTTGCAAAGCTTATCTGTGTTTTAGGATGTATCAGTTCTTCATTCCTTTTTATAGCTGAATAATACTCCATTATATGAATATACCCTGTATGTTTATCCATTGAGCAGTTGACGACATTCAGCAGATGATGGTGGGTCATTTCCAGAGTTGCTTCTGCCTTTTGGTTCTTTTGTATAGTACTGCTATGGACATCGTGTACAATTCTATGTTTGCACACCTGTATTCAGTTCTTTTGAGTATATATATATAGGAGTGGAATTGCCACAGCATATGGTAATTTTATGTTTCACTTTTTGAGGAACCAAGGAACATTACATTTCAAATGAAGAAATGTATTACTTGTATGATTAAAAATAAAGAAAAACTTTTAGAAATAAAAATAGAAAATTGCTCAAAATTTAAAACTGAAAAAGGGAAAAATTATTTAAATTTGAAATGGACTAAAAAGTACTAGCAAAATTAAAACTGCCTTATAAACGAAAACCCCAGAAATAAATTACTGGCAACTTTTGCAATATATTTTTCTAGTTTTTGCATTTTTGTTAAAAAATTAATACACCCTTTAGTTCCCAGCATGTATTGAGATAAAAATTGTGAGTCCTTCTTTACATACATTCCCTTTAAGGGTTAAAACGTTTTTGTGCATATTATTCTATTCCTTTTACTGTGCTACCCAGCATTTTTTCAAATCCTAACACCATTTAATATAAATTGGTCTGAAAATTGCTTACTTAATAATATATCTTGACTATCATTCCATATCTGGTTATACAGATCTCTACTTCATTTTTTAAATAGCTGTGTAATATTTCATAGTGTATATCATCATTGTTTTCTATTCTCTGATATTAAGGGGCATTTTGATTGCTTACAGAGTGGTTCTCAAACATTGCAACATTTTAAAACAACTGTCTCAGCCTTATCCCCCAAAGTTCCTGACTCACAGGACTAGGGCAGGGCCTGAGAATTTGCATTGCACACAGGTCTCCATGTGTTGCTGACATCTAGGGGCTGCACTTTGGCAACCAGTGGGATGAGAATGTTGAGCCTGGTTGTTGTGAACGAGTGTGACTGGTGAAGGTTTGAACGGGTGAAACGTAGGATTGTGTTTATGAGAGACAGTGTGTGTATAACTGAGAAGAGTATTCAGAAGAGGGATCACAGGGCTCTAGTGAACTTGTGTTCCACTCTGTTTGTTTCTCCCACTCTTTTGTATTTGAGAGTGTTTTTATTTCTAGTAAACCATGTTTCCTTAACTGGTGTTTCTATTTGTGGCAGGTTGGAAGATAGGATCACCATTCAGCAAAATGAAGTTTCTGAAGATGGAGCCCCGAGGAGCATGGATCACCTTGGTGAAGTTCATGTAGGTGAGCATCACTGTATTGGCCTGATTACTTTCTGGAAGGTCGTTAGCACTAACCTGTTCTATTTGGACTATATATTAATAGAGAGCATCGCTAACCACTAACCTGAATTATCTAAAAAATATAATAGGCATAGAGCACTGGACTCCACATTTATTTTTTTATTACTTTTTTTGAAGTATAGCCAATTTACAATATTGTGTTAGTTTCAGGTGCACAGCATAGTGATTCATTTTTTTAATTTGCAGATTAGGTTCCATTATAGGTTATTACAAGATATTGGGTATTGTACCCTGTGCTATATTTGTTGGTTACCTATTTTATGCACAGTAGTGTGTATCTGTTAACCCCATACTCCTAATTTGTCCTTCCCGCTCCCTCTCCCTTTCGGTAAATACAAGGTTGTTTTCTGTGTCTGTGAATTGGTTTCTGTTTTGTACATAGCTTCATTTGTATTATTTTTTATATTCCACATATAAGTTATATTGTACAGTATTTGTCTTTCTCTGCCTGACTTATTTCACTAAGCATTATTTTCTCCAGGTCCATGTTGCTGCAAATGGCAGAATTTCATTCTTTTTTATGGCTGCTGGACTCTGCATTTATAAGCCTGTATTGTTTGGCAACGTGGGCAGTGTAACTTTTTGGTCAGTTATCTTACTGAATGTTCAAACAAAAAGAGTTGCTTGCCAAAGCTAAGCCAGTATCTCAGGACATTAAATAAGTGGTCTTCTTATTTCTAATAGTATTAATTAAAATATAAGAAGTACAATTTTTTAATATCTAACCTATAGGAACAAAGATAACCTGGAGCTGTTGAGTGTTTAAACAGTACTTTTTCACATGTCCTTGCATTTGTGTCACATTTTTGAACTTCTGTTATAATGGAAGAATTTAACAAATTAAATCTTTCTGAAAATAAAACATACCCGGTTAAAGATTATTTATAAGGTAATAAAATCACATATATATTTGATTTTGTTTTTCATGGAGTTTTTTGCTATGATTCATGTTAAATAGTATACTTTTTCAGTATCACTTAGCACATTGAATACTGTATAGACTTGTCATGTAATCTTTCCTTTATTCCACAGAACCTGGATTGGATGGTTCTTCACACTCTGAGTGTGATGTAGATGAATCTATGCAACCAGAACCATTTTTCCATAAACACTTGAAAGCAGCCTCTCAAGTCCAGTCAGTCCTCTGTTCACCAGAAGAATCCCCTCCACTTCGATCTCACTCTGGTTCACCACGAAGAAATAAAAAACAGAATTCCTTGCTGATTGGACTTTCAACTGGTCTATTTGATGCAAACAACCCAAAGGCAAGTATGCTCCTCAGATGGAAAACGTTGTCCATTTGATAACATTTCACATTTACTATTTTTCTTTGATAAGCTATAATATTGAGCTTTAATCCCTTAAAAGCACAAACACATACACACGAAAACACACTCATCAAAATAAACAGAAACAAGAAAACCCCTCCATCTTCTCTCCAATACTGAAAAGAAATTGCCATTGAGAGTACAGCTAGGACAAAGGCTGCCTCATTGGCTCCATGTGCAGGGTCTCTTCATAGGGTCTACTTTTATTTGAGCAGAACATCCCTCTTACACCCTCTTATTCTGTCCCCCTTTCCCATTCCCAACCCCAATTCCATTTTTAGTATTAGACTAAGCTTGAGCATTATGTCTTAAAGGGATAGAAGTGCCGTGTTGCTTAATTTATACCTAGAAGGATTAGTAGATGTGTATCTGCACTTTCTGGTAAAAGTTTTCCAGACCTCTTATGTTTTCTCACTCTCTGTTTTAAAAATATGTAACCAATTTTTTTCTTATTAAGAGATTAGAACATTATAGAAAATTTAGAAATGTAAGTAATCACATATCATTTTGTTATATTACTTTTCATATATGTAATTTTTACATATATGTAACTTTTTAACAAAATAGGATATTATGCATACTCTTTGTAACCTGCTTTTCTATTTAGTACATATTATAAAATTATTACAAATGTTATTTTTACAAAAACAGCATTTTGTCATACTGTCATATATTCTCTCATATCCTTCTGAATGGCAACAAATTCCATTATTCTGCTATATCATGCTTTCTTTAATCTGTTTTTATTGTTGGGCCTTTAGATTTCAATTTTTGTTGTTATAACCACATTCATCTGTATCTTTGTTCATGTCCACAATTATTTCCATAAAATAAATTTCTGTAAGTGTAATTCAAAAGGGTGTATTGTATAATGTCTGATTTTCCTTCAAGAAACATTGTATAGTGCTATAAATAGTATGTGAGAGTTCATACTCTAAATAATACCAACTATTATCATTTACTTAAAAATTGTGTGTTTAATGAGTGAGAAATGGTATCAACTCTTTAAAGTTTATATTTCTGTTTTTACCAGTGAGTTGAACATTTTTCATATAGTTAACTCTGCATATGAATGAATTACCTGAATTCTCTTGTCCTTAACTGTTTTTAAAATATTTTTTAAATGAAAAATGATTTTCAGTTTAATTTTCCAGATGGATATGTTTTTACTTTGTGGAGTATTTTCTTATGATTTTCTTAAATGTAGAGATGGCTAAATTCTCTCACTCATCTGATAGCATTCAGGTTTTCAAAGGTGTAAACTTAGTGTATCCTTGGTGGGCAGAAAAGGATCACCGTATGATTCATGTACTTACTTTTGTCGTGAAGGTGTATAGCTTTCTTTATCTCAGAGCTTTTTAATAACTTACTGCTGTCTATAAAAGTTAATGGACTTTTAACTGAATAATACATTTGATTACTTGATTTCCTTTCATGACCTTAGTTCAGCCTTAGTAGTTCTGTAGAAGTACTTACTCTGGACTTACAGCAAAGCAGATTTCATGTAGAGGGAGGGGACAAGAAAAATCTCTGGAAAATCAAAGCAGTCTATAGCCATTTAAGGCAAGGACAGAAAGCCATGTGTGCCTGTCCCGTAAATTTCTGAGCTCATGAGAGTTCATCACTGTGCCAAAATAGTAAATAATCAGTGTTCATAATGGTGGCTTTGAATCATGAAGAAAAGGTGGAAACTATTTATAAGCGTTTATATAATCCGTTTACTAAAATGGGATAATTTAACCTCCTACAGAGATTTTTGTTAAAAGTTTTTTTTTTTTAAATGTTAAGTCATACTACTTTTGTCCTTTTTTTTTATTAAAGGAAATCCTTCTTGAGCTTTGGATCCTAACCTCCCTCACCTTCTTAAAGAAGTCACTCCTTTACTTTTGCCCTCCAGCCTACGTCATGAATGTCTTTCTCTGTGATGGGTTATTCCCACAGGACACCTGCTCTAACAGGTCCCATCATAAATGGCAAACTTCCTGTAAGCACACGTCCTCCCCTGCTCCCACTGCACTTCTCTTTGTTGTATTTTTGCAGTGTCCCCGCCACTCACTTCCCAGTACATTCCAGTGTGGTTGTCAGCCCACTTCTCCACTGAAGCTTCTCTTGCCAAAATCACCAATTACCAGTACATTATCAAGTTCCCTGTACCTTTTTCTCTCACCTTTCTTGACTTTTCTTTCAACAGAGTTGATATACACCTTCTTTTATAATCATTTTATCTGTAGGCATCCTGCGTATCATACTTTCCTGGTTTTCCTCTGCATTCATTGTCACTCTCCTGTTTCCTTTGCTGCAGCCACTCCTACTAACAGATCTCCTTAAGAGAGTATAGATTCTTCTGTCGTTGGGTGAATTGTTCTGTAAATGTCAAGAATTAAGTCCAGTGGTGTTGTTCATGTTTTCCTTATCTTGACTGATTTTTTTGGTCTACATTAACTATTAGTTGCTGAGAAAAGAAGATTGAAAATTTTAACTATACTTGCATAACTATCTATTTCTCCTTTCAGTTCTGTCAACTTATGCTCCATGTATTTTGAAGCTCTGTTACTGACTGAATAAGAATTTAGTATTGTTCTGTCTTCTGGGTGAATTGATACATTTATTGTTATGAAGTGTCACTCTGGAATAGTGTTGTTCAAGTCTTCTGTATCCTTTTTCTTTTCTTTCTACTTGTTTATCAATGACTGGGAAAGCACTGTTGACATTTCCAGTCAATTGAATGTAAATTAATAATATTTATGTCTTCTTTATAAATTGACCCCTTTATCATTATGAAATGACTCACTTTATCCCTGATCCTATCACCTTGTTCTGAAATCTACTTTGCCTGGTTTTAACATAGCCATTCTAGCTTTTTTATGCTTAGTGTTTATATGGTATATATTTTTACATCCTTTACTTTTTTTTTTAATTAATTTATTTACTTTTGGCTGCATTGGGTCTTCGTTGCTACACACGGGCTTTCTCTAGTTGCGGTGAGTGGGGGCTACTCTCCATCGTGGTGTGCGGGCTTCTCATTGCAGTGGCTTCTCTTGTTGCAGAGCACAGGCTCTAGGCATGTGAGCTTCAGGAGTTGTGGCATGTGGGCTCAGTATTTGTGGCTCACAGGCTCTAGAGCATAGGCTCAGTAGTTGTAGCGCACGGGCTTAGTTGCTCCGCGGCATGTGGGATCTTCCCAGACCAGGGTTCATACCTGTGTCTCCTGCATTGGCAGGCAGATTCTTAACCACTGCACCACCAGGGAAGTCCCTACATCCTTTACTTTTTTTTTTTTTTTTGAGGTACGCGGGCCTCTCACTGTTGTGGCCTCTCCTGCTGCGGAGCACGGGCTCCGGATGCGCAGGCTCAGCAGCCATGGCTCACGGGCCCAGCCGCTCCGCGGCATGTGGGATCCTCCCAGACCGGGGCACAAACCCGTGTCCCCTGCATCAGCAGGCAGTCTCTCAACCACTGCGCCACCAGGGAAGCCCCATTTATTAAGAAATCATACTTATTTCATATAGACTTCTTGTAGTTGTCATATAGTTGAGTCTTGCTTTTTAACACTCTGACAGTCTTTTAATTAAAGTGGTTAGACCATTTATATTTAGTGTTATTTTCAATATATTATCATTATGATTGAGTTTAAACTTATCATTTTGCTATTTGTTTTCTATTTGTCTCATTACTTCTTTCATTCCTTTTTTACTTTTATTCTCCCTTTTGCATTGAGTATTTTTAGTATTTTATTTAATCTCTACTATTTGCTTATAAAGTAGACTTTAAAAAATATTTAATGGTCATTCTCAGTTTTCAGTATAAATCTTCAGTTTATCTTGGTCTGCCTTCAAATATTGTACCGTGTCATGAACAGCATCAGAGCCTTACAACAGTACATTTCCATTCCCCTACTCTTGCCTATCCTTTGTGGAATTGTTGCCATGTGTTTTATTTCTGCATGTATTATAAATTCCACAATACATTTCTATTGTTTTTGCTTTCAACATTCAATTATCTTTCACAGAAAGTAAAAATTGAGAAAGCAAGCCTTTTATATTTACATATTAACCGTTTCTAACATTCTTCATCCCTTTGTGTAGAATTCGAATTTTTATCTGGTATTATTTTTCTACCACTTTAAGAACTTCTCTAACACTTCTTGTGTCCCTGTTGGTGATGATTTTTTTTAGCTTTTGTTTATTTAAAAACATTTAAATTTCACTTTCACTTTGAAAGGGTATTTCTACTAGATCTAGACTTACATTGTCTTCTGGGCTGCACTGTTTCTGACAAGAAACACCATAAATACAGTGGCAGCTTTCATAAGGCAGTTGTAATGGAGTGACTTAACAAAATTGAGAGTATAACACATAAATGAAGATTATTGAAGGTAAATTTGTAATAGGTCAGGATGAAATAGTGTAAAGATGAGACCTTCTAGTGATCTCACGTGGGGAGTAGAGTGGAAGACTGATCTCTATGAAAACTGAAGAATTTATTTTCTTGTTATAGCAAATGCAGAGTGAGGGAAAGTAAATATTAATGTACAATTCACAAATAACACAAGCGCCTTAAATGTCTTCTTTTGATTTGCTAAAATATCAATTCTTAGAAAATGTCCGTAATTTTTCCCTTTCGTAAGTGTTCATAATTTTTTAATGTTTTAAGTCCATTTTTAACCTTGTTTATGGGTTGAAGTGAGCAAGTATTTGTACAAGCTATTTTGAGGGTGTAGTGTTACCGTTGAATTGCAGTAAGCAGAAGCTAAACAAATGTGCTCATCATAAACTATTTTATAGTACAGCCAGAGGATTACTAACACATAATTTTATATTAAAAATACTACAGATGAAAAACTGAGTTGATGGAATTAAGTAGAATTTCATGTGAAGTTCTATTAGTGCAACTACTACTAAATTCATTCATTCTTTATGTGGTTGTCTTCATTTTTGAGAAAAAATAGAACCAACAGTGAGAGATCTAAAGGAACTGCATTTTTAAAAATGTTTTAAGGTTTTCTAAAACATTGGTTTCCTGTTTGATTTATAATGGTACCAAATGCTAGCTGCATAAATAATCATACTACAAAAAATTTTGGAAAAAATGAGTCTGACTATAAATGAAGTAAGATGTCAGGCAACATGTTCTGGATTAATAACTACTTTCAGGAGGATTTCTTTCTATTAATGTCAGAACTATAGAATATTATTTAAACAATATGAAAGAAATCTAGTAGACTCAGAATTACAGAACTGGAAGTGTTCTTATATAAAATTCTTCTTATGAAGATGAATATCCTGTCTAAAACTTTAGCAGTCTGTCAGGGAAGACTGTGAACATTAGGATTTTAAATATAGGACCTTTAGGAACTGTTGGATTGATGGGTGTGTAAACCCATTCCCAGAGGTACAGACCACTTGAAATTTCTTTCTAACCCTATCATTTTATGTTAGGTGATGAAGTTTATTTTAATTAATGACAGGAATAAACTAGAATTGAGATGATTTTACCAGGGTTAAAATTTATCTCAGCCTAAAAAATATTGCATCCTTTTGTGTAGTCCCCTTGTATTTAGGTATATAATGCGTATATGCTATTTATTTTTATCGATTAGCATGTATCTGGGTAAACTGTTAGTGGCTACATATTTTGCATACCCCGGGTTTATAATATATGTGGCTCAAACCATTAAAATAACAAACAAGTCAAGCGTAAATTCTGCTGACAGTACCATTGTTAAGTGCTTTAACCAGGCAGTGTATCTGCGCCATCTTGTAGCGCATCACCATTTTTTTTCTCTTGAGTGCTGTGATATGTAAATTACGTTCAAATAATAGAATTCTATTCCTTTTTATTCTCACTAACAGATTGTACCAATAAAATTGGCCAAGTATATACATTTTCATTAATGTGCCAAACATTGTGTGTTCTGCACAGTCTCCCATCTGGTGCTGGGCTCCTATCAGGGCCTTAGGAGTCACGTTTCAGATCTTACCGACCCCTTTAGGGTTGACCAGCCCTGAGACTGACTTCTGTAGATGTGTGTGCCGTAGCCCCGTCTGTCCGTCACGCTCCGACTATGGAAAGGGTGCTGGACAGAGGCTGTTCCTGTTATCCTGGTCTTATCCAACGCGGTTCACGTTTCAGGCACCTCCGCCGTGTTGTGCTGTCTCATCTCGGTGTGCTGGGCTCTTCCTCACCCTGCTGCTCCAGGTGCTGTCAGCGTGAACTTGGAGGTGCCTATCCTCACAGCCATCCTTTCTGGTGGGAAAGGCGCTCGCTGCTCGCAGTCGGCTGCTTGCAGTCCGCTGCTCAGGGAGGCCCCAGTGGGCTCTTCTTTGCACTAACTGAAGGCCCTGCCTTAAGCTGTTGGCCACCCAGCATCTGTTAGGGCAAAGGGACACTAAGGGCCACCAGTTGTGTGGGGTGCTGCTTAGCCAAGCTTGGGCAAAAATACCCGGAGCGCGTTGGATGTCGAGAAGTGAGAGGAAGACTCAGGAGGGGTGCTGTGGCCGAGGGGTGGCAGGGCCTGACCCAGCTCCAGCTCCAGCTCCCTCCATGTGCACACCCCAGATAAACACCCTCCCTACCTTTTAAAGTCCACTTCACATTGAAACCCAAGCAGAACTCGCAAGCTTACTTTCATCACTGAAAAAATACGAGCTGAAGTTCAAGAGAAGTAGGTTCTCAGCTTAGGCAAGTCGCCCCTGAAGCTTCTAGCTTTAAATGGATGATCGATGTGTATATATAAATAACAAAATTATTATTAGCTCCAATTTTCTAATTTTTTCTCTCGTTTCTTCTCACTTTCTCACTCCTAATAAGATATCGGTTGCCTTTTTATAGATGTTGAGGACATGTTCACTTCCAGACCTCTCAAAGCTGTTCAGAACACTGATGGATGTCCCCATTGTCGGAGATGGACGTCAGGACAATCTTGAAATGGATGAAATGGAAGATGAGCATGTTAAGGAAGGACCTTCCGACTCTGAGGACATGTGAGCATGATGACATTCGTAGATACCGACACTAACAGGATTTCTGAATTTACACATGTTCTAGAGATGGAGCCTCACCCACAGTTTTCAAACATGATCTGTAGCTGACCTTGCACTACTCCTTTAACTTTTTACAATGTATTTTAAAGTACAGTCAAGGAAACTTTGTTATGTGTGTCTGCCTCTAAACACTGTAACTTAATGTCACTTGAGGAATGTAAGGACAGGGTCACCATGTGTTCTCTGTCTTACTGGCTGGTGCGTAATTGGGTGAACCTCAGCAGGATAATGAATGTTTGGTAGTTTGATGCCACATGGTACAGGGATTGCAGTGGGGGACTGAAGGACTCACTACTCTCCTCTTCCCCAGGAAGATGCCAGAAAGCTCCCCATCGGTCTCCTGCCGCCTGTGATTTCAAAACCATGGCAGTGGGGAGTTAGCAGGTGGAATAGTGTGTGTGCGTGTATGTGTGCGCACATGCTCACATGTGAGTTCTGCACTTAACTGCCTTCACAAGATTCCCTCCTTATTAATTCCTGAGGAATCTAGAATCCCAGAGGAAAATTTAACAACACTCCTGAAAGAGCTGGGAACTGGCAGCTCCTTAGACAGTAATACCCCTCCACCTTCCTTGATATCAGTCAGCCTTCTCAGCCCATCCGACAAATGTTACAGCGTTTGGGGGGAAATAAAACCAGAGTGTTCAAGAAGTGTATTCAAGTCACCGGGAAAATAGGTTGCAAAATGCTATAATTTTTATGATTTATTTTTTGATTTGTTTGAATTTAAGTTTCTCCTTTTTACCTCTGCCTTTCAGTAGGAACAATGTGTGTTTTGATCTAATTGAAAGCATGATATCAGTCTCATGATTTTTCTCCCTCTAATTCTTGAGCCGGGCACTGCATCTGGTGCATTTTATTTTCTGTTTTTGTTTTTCTTAAGGCTTGCCCTTTCTTTTTAAATTTCTAGCCAAACTTTATCTTTCAAAGGTTGACTTTTGAATTCTCTGGCTGTCCAGTGGTTAGGACTCCATTGCTGTCACTGCCGAGGGCCCGGGTTCAACTCCTGGTCGGGGAACTAAGATCCCACAGCCATGCAGTGTGGCCAAAAAAATAAATAAAATAAAGGTTGGCTTTTTTTTCCCCCCATAGAGTTCTGTAGATTTTTGCTGGTGCCCTCAAAATTCGGAGGAAAATTACCTTTTTATCCTTGCTTCTTCTGCTTGGCTGTGGTCATTAAGCACTTTACGTTGTATTTTTATTAAGCCTGTTGGATAACAGGACAACATTTCAGCACCTCTGTGGTTGACAAAATCCTTAGTAACAGTTTTTTCCTCAGAGTTTTATAAGTCATCAGTTTTTAAGTGAATATAGCTTATTTGTGGCTTATATTCTTTTAATTACTAGTTGATGACAGAATTTTATTTTAAAGTTTAAGTTAGAAGCTTTTAATGTTATTTTTTAAATTTGAAAAGTAAGTTTTTTTTCAAGTAAGTTACTCCATATGCATATAGGGAAATTTCACTTGACATTTTTCTTTGGAAAATATGTATTTTTTTGATCCAAACTTTATTTATGGTCATATAATAAAACCTACTGAAAAGAAAATTCAGGACCAGGTTTTAAAGTACCTGAGTCAATTTTCTGAGTGCTCATTTCATAAAAAATCTTAATCCTCTTACACTTTTCTTACACTGGCATAGTTAGCAGCCCACTTGCTTTAATACCATCTGTGGTGGAAACTTATTCCTCTACAGGAAGATTTTACCAACAGGTTAATGCCTAGTCACATAGCAATGGTACCTAGCAGATGTGCGTGGTATGTAAGTCTGGTAATTAAATATTAAGCTAAATGCTCCTAGAAGGATGATCCAAAAGATTAGACACTGTCCTTCTCATTCTAATTAGATGATGTTTGCTTTTCTTTAAGTGCTGCAGAGTCAAAGTGTAGGAGTTTGTACACATATGTACAAAATAAAGATATTTCTACATTAAAAATTATTTTTCTGTTAATGAAAATTTTGTATGAGGTCTCACATAATAATATTTATGTTTTAGTTCTTCAGTAAGTATTTGTTTATTCAATTAGAGTCTAAACTTTAAGAAAGGGCTTCATCAGCCTTGTGTTCTGCTTAATACTGCTTTTCCACTATTGAAATCCTCACTGTGGGTCCCTAATCTTTCAGAGGACTTTACGTATCTAAAACATGAATTAACCGTTAGTCTACAAGTTCTTCCACTTGTGTGCCCCAGGGAGAAAGAAGCAGCTCCCTGGGGGAATGGAGCTGCTGAGTGTGCTTCTTGGGTCTTGTAGACGTGGTCAGAAGGCCTAAATCTCAGTCTCGTTTTTGTCATTTATTGACCACGTGGCCTTGACAAGTCACTTGAGCACCTTGATTCATAGTTTCCGTGTTTCTAAAGTGAGTTTTGTATGGATAAAATTTAAATAGTAGGATAAAGAGCTTTAATAACTAAGGTATTATATGAATGTAAGATATTACTTGCATAAATCAGTTCATTTCAGCATCTGTAATTGCACAAAAGTAGAATTAATACTCTGGGCAGTGCCTGGAGGGTAAGACCCCCGCAGTGAGGCTAGTGCCCAGCTGTCGCACATCCACACCAAGATTTTGCTGAACCTTCAAAACTACATGAAAGAAAAATATTTAGTCTGGCTCTTCAATATTGAAGCATTCTTTCAAAACGTAAGGAATTAATAATGTTGATAGTTACATGATTCTCTCTGACAAATCAGGACCATTTTATACAAGTCATCTTCGGGCGTACGTATTCCAGAAGCTGTGTTGTGTGCTTTATTTATCAGTTGTGTGAATTCTCATTTCCTTTGTTAAAAACTATGTGTTTTTTCAGATTTCTTTTTACCCACAACGAGTACTTTTAAGTAGAAAGGAGCGCATGTATATGGAGTTGAAGTAAAATTTCAGAAAGGTAAAGTTTTGGTAACGTTCCATTTAATTTTTAATTCTCAGTGTGTTTGAAGAGGCTGACACAGACTTACAAGAGCTTCAGGCCTCCATGGAGCAGCTGCTGCGGGAGCAGCCTGGGGAGGACTACAGCGAGGAGGAGGGGTTGGGCCTGAAGACCAGCGACGCGGAGCAGGCTGCCAACGGCACGGACGCGGGCGATGAGGACGACAGCCCTAGCAGCGAGAGCGCTCTCAACGAGGAGTGGCACTCGGGTGCGTGGTGGCCCACACTGCGAGCAGCGTGTCTCTTTCTGGCCTCCAACACGAGCCCCTTCCAGCCTGAAGTGAGGCTGAAGCCTGTTCTGCGTCGCTGACTTGCGTTCACTCTCTCTTCTCACACAGTCTGCATACATAGTTGTCCCATTTCTTTGCCACTAAAGTATGGAAATGCTTTTTGAAGCATTTTTATCCTATTATCCTCCACTTCTTGACTTATTTTCCTAGTAATAAAGATAGTAACTTAGTTTTCTTAGCCCTTTATGTTGTACAAAGGGCTTCCACATACAGTGCTTAACCAGCAGGGTTAAACTGAAAGAGTTTTTAAAACCTTGACACTTTTTTTTTGGTTTGGAAACAGCTCCTTGTTCATACCATTGACCCTAAGATGCATAGAAAATTTGTGTATTTAAATAACGATTTATTTGAGAAGAAGAGGTAATGTGAAAAAGAATGATTCTGCATTCATTTTTCTTTTACTAGAATTTTTCAAATTACCTTGGACATGTACATGACATAAAACATATAAAGCATTTATAATACTTTTTAAGTGCCTTCCCAGTTTTATGATATACATCTTAGGTCATCTATATGCTCGTTCATGTTTTGCCCTATGTTTAATATCAAGTTTTTAAAAATAGAGTTGGTTGCCTCAGTGCAGAACATATGGGTATGCTTTTTCCTTTTTTTTTTAGCTAAATTCAGTGACATCTCTTGGAGTAGTTTTTATTCTAACCTGACTCACTGTTTATGTCTATAAAAGAAAAGATTTCTAAAGTAACATTCCTGTTAAGACAAATTTATATATACATACATTGATTACCTACATAAATGACAAGTATTATAATGACAGAAACTTTATATTGAATGTACAAGTAGTCTACCAATGACAGTATTCACGTGTCACAGGATTTTAATCAGTTACGGTAAGAATTATTTTATTCAGTCTTTTACATCATAAAATGTCTTCTTTTTTATTTATGTTTTTTAGATAACAGTGATGGTGAGATAACTAGTGAATGTGAATACGACAGTGTCTTTAATCATTTAGAGGAACTAAGGCTTCACCTAGAGCAGGAAATAGGCTTCGAAAAGTTCTTTGAGGTTTACGAGAAAATAAAAGTGAGTAAAATGTCACTTAAAGCATTTAATTTTGAAATATGCTCTGTTTGAATTACTAGTGAAATGTCAGTGATTTTTATTGGTCAGTAGACCCATTATAAATAATAAACAAAGTCTCCAATTAGAGGAGGTTAACATTCAAATATTAATGTATATTTGGAAATTTGGTATAGGCTGTTCATGAAGATGAAGATGAAAATATTGAGATTTGTTCAACAGTAGTTCAGAATCTTTTGGGAAATGAACATCAGCATCTTTATTCTAAGATTCTTCATTTAGTTATGGCAGATGGCGCCTATCAAGAAGGTAAGATTTCCTCACATCCTTATATTTTAAATAAATGTGCAAAAAATAAAATGACAAATGTAAATTGATGACGTTATATCACATGCATTTTGGTGAAATCTATATTGGAATTATATGTAGTACTTTGAAGCAATTAACTGTGTCCTTCTTTTTGACTGTTTCTGGCATAAGCTTTTATTGGCTTAAGTTTTTTAAGTCAATATTTTAATTTAATTTGCAAGTAACATTTTGAATGAGATTTTTAAAAAGCCTCCTTATTGGACAGCTCTAGAAATTAGAATACTTTTTTATTAAGGAGGCAGAATTAAATTTTTAGACACATATGTAAGGTTTCTCCTAACTAGAACCAAATGTACTCTCTTTTGTTGAGAGTAAGTAGAGTTCATCTACAGTGATTTGAGGGTAAACCATTTTTATATTTGGAAAATATTTACCAATAGAATCACTCAGAATGTGTTAGGACTTTATTAAAAGTTATTAAAGTTAAAAATGTTTTTCCCCTTAAATTGGTCAAGAGCACTAAGCATGGAACCTAGAGACCAGAGTTACATTCTCGACTCTGACTAGCTGGTCATGACACAAGGTGATTTATTTTGTCTCGAGTTTGTTTCCTTTGCTATCAGATGGAGCATTACCTCCAACCTCATGCACTGTGGTGGATTTTCAGAGTGTTTATGGAGCCCCCGTGGGCCTGGCACTTCATTTCTGTGGCCACTGAAGGGCATGGTCTGTGCTTACATGTTGTGTACAGTTTCCTTGGGAGATAAGACAGATAGATAGGAAAGAAAGTGTAAAACTGTACATAGAAGTGCTCATTCTGAAATGTTTTCAGTGCAGTAGGAATTAGAGAAGGGAGATCAAACTGGGAAAAATGGAAAGAAACATAGAAGGCGTGACTTGTAGGGAAAAGAACAAACCAGCGATTCATTTGTGTTAGGCTTAGACTGACTGTATTAGGAGCTTCCTGTTGAGAATTAGTCTTTGTGATTGACCCTGTGAAATGTGTAAGAAACTGGAGGAAACCAGTGAAGGTTTCTGAAGTGAAAGGACTGACATAGTGGAAGAGGCAGCGGGAGCACCTGATGGAAACGGTAGAGGCAGTTGGCGTGAGTTGGTGAGGACCCGGACTTCGTGTTCAGAGGGGTGTTCAGTTCAGGTATTTCAGAACCAGGGTTTTATTAAAATATTTGACATTTAGACTCATGAAAAATTAAGTCTGCTAAAATCACAGCTCAAGAATGCTTTTTATTTTGGGAGAAACTTTATGGTTATGTAGACTTATTTACATTAACTGTAAGCTCAGCAAAAACTGTTTCTTGAGTTGCTTTAATGGAAGTAAAATTCTTGATAAAATTCTAATAGTTACCGTTAAATTGAAACTAGAAAATCTTCAGGTAGAGTAAGTACTCTTTTTTTAAAATTTTATCTATTTATTTACTTTTGGCTGTGTTGGGTCTTTGTTGCTGTGCGTGGGCTTTCTCTACTTGCGGCAAGCAGGGGCCGCTCTTTGTTGCGGTGTGCGGACTTCTCATTGTGGTGGCTTCTCTTGTTGCGGAGCACAGGCTCTAGGCGTGCAGGCCTCAGTAGTTGTGGCACACGGGCTCAGTAGTTGTGGCTCGCAGACTCTAGAGTGCAGGCTCAGTAGTTGTGGCGCACGGGCTTAGTTGCTCCATGGCATATGGGATCTTCCTGGACCAGAGCTCGAACCCGTGTCCCCTGCACTGGCAGGCGGATTCTTAACCACTGTGCCACCAGGGAAGCCCAGTAAGTACTCTTATAGCTTCAGACCCCACTGCATTTTCATTACTTTTCTTCTTAAGCTAACAGAATAACTGCCAAGGAGTAGTTCAGGCCATTAGCAGCAAGGAACAGACTGAATGTAAACCAGTCCTTTTTATAAGCCAGCAGGTAGTGCTGCGTGTGTGCTTCACTATGTAGTAGTTCAGATTATCAGAAATGGCACAAACAGAATCACGTTTTAGCTTATGGTGGTTGCTATGAAACCTATCAGTAGAAATTTAAGGGAGCTCTTCTTTATTAAAAAAAAATGTCAAAGGACAATAAAATAATTCCACTTTGGGGAAAAAATATAAGAACGTACTTATCCAAATAAACGTTTAGTGTCTTCAAAGCAGAGATACAGACTTATTCTAATGAAGGTATTCCATTACACAAAATATCTTGAAACTTCTCTTTCAGAAATTCCCTGACAGCTTATATACCAGATTCTTTTGATTGTCTTTCTTGATACAAGTCTATTCTGAGAGCATTTAATTTTTTTTGGAAAAAGCTTAAAGTTACTTGCAACCAAGTTTAGTGAATGAAGTGGGTAATCAAGATAAATGATATGTGATCTTTTTCAGTAACTTACCATGCAGTAATGAGCCTAATTTGTATAATTAGTTTGTAAACTGATTTGGAATATTTTGAACAAGAATTCATTTCTAGGGCTTCCCTGGTGGCACAGTGGTTGAGAGTCCGCCTGCCGATGCAGTGAACACAGGTTCCTGCCCCGGTCCAGGAGGATCCCACATTTGCCGCGGAGCGGCTGGGCCCGTGAGCCACGGCCGCTGAGCCTACACGTCTGGAGCCTGTGCTCCGCGACGGGAGAGGCCACAGCAGTGAGAGGCCCGCATACCGAAAAAAAAAAAAAAGCATTTCTAAAAATATTTGTCAAAAATTAATACTATTACTTTAAAGGTATGATTTGTAGACTAAAGTCAAGGATTTAAAGTGTTGATGCGTAATTTTGGCAGTATACATTTTCATAAGATTTATTTATATTCCATCTCGTTCCCCCAGAAAAGGTTTAATTACATGATATATAGTGCAATGTATATATATGTGTGTGTGTGTGTTTATACACACATACACACAGAACAAACTGAAATTAAGTTAAAAACAAGTGTTTGGGAAAGTCAACATATCAGGCAAATGAATACCTCAGGCAAATGAGTGCAAGCAATATAATATTAAGCCAAGTTGAAGTAGGAACAGAAAGTTCGTGGTCGAAGTGTCTCTACAATTTGGGAAGATAGTTCACAAATTTGGTGCTGAGATTTGTAGCAAAGCAGGAAACCTAACTAAATATGTCCGTTACTCAGAGGACAGCTCTTTTTGGTATTGAAACAAAGGAAAAATGTCCAGTGATTCTTCTAAAAAGGAGACTATGATACAGTGTTCCTCAAACTCGGGTAGCATGTAGAGTCCTCTAAAGGGGAAAATACTTTTTCAGACTCCAAGAATCTAAGTCCATAGACCTCAGTGAAAAACTGAAGCCTTAGTGTTTGCAAATGTCTGTCAGTTGTGTTTATTACTATAAAACATGGGGGTTTTTAATATATATATAAAATATTTTCATCAAAATGAATATATAAAATATAAACATTATCTGGAACTTGTATATTCCTGATTTAATTGAAATCTTGGACACCATTTTATAAAACAGCCCTGTTATGGCCTGAAAACATTCTCAGTAACTTTTACAATATTTGGATTTCATAGGACCCTTTCTCATAATATGGCATGTGGAAGTTAATGGCATGAGGCCAGAAAAATGATTGTATTTGAGTGAATCTGTGGAGAGTATCAGACTAGTTCTGTTCATACTCAGACTGCATCCTTCAGGCAGTTCTCACAAGTATCGTTTCAAGATGCTTTCCATGAGTAGTCAGCAACAGTGTGCTTGGGAGTTAGTGTTGCTTGACAGGTATTTGGAAAACTTGCCCCTTCCTTGGAGAAAAAGCACAGTCAGCTGAGCCATGAGGTAGAATTGACACCGTCCTGTGACAGCTGAGTGGTTTCAGAAGGACACATGCCTACACAGAAGGCCATTCCCCTGCAAAACACCACCAATCATGCCGGCTAATGCACTCCTCAAGAAGCAGTACCAGGTTTACTCTACCACACAAATGAAAGGGCACGAGGACCCCAAGTTCTGGATCATAAAGCCTGCAGTAATTCCTTTAGCCTGGAAAAAAAGGTAAAGCAGCTAAACATATCAACTCACTAAGCTGGTTGTAAAATGTATATTGAATTCTCTAAATCAGCCATCCCCAACTTTTATGGCGCCAGGGACCGGTTTCGTGGAAGACAGTTTTTCCACAGAGTGGGGAGTGGGGTGGGAATTGTTTGGGGATGAAACAAGCGCATTACATTTATTGTGCACTTTATTTCTATTATTATTACATTGTAATATATAATGAAATAATTATACAACTCACCATAATGCAGAATCAGTGGGAGCCCTGAGCTTGTTTTCCTGCAACTAGATGGTCCCATGTGGGGGTGATGGGATACAGTGACACCCGAAGTGTGTTGCTTATGTCCAGTCTACCCCGTTAGATGCAGCTTAATTGTCACTTGCCACTCACTGATAGGGTTTTGGTGTGAGTCTGCAAGCAAGGGATTTTTGTTGTTGTTGTTGTGGTACGTGGGTCTCTCACTGTTGTGGCCTCTCCCGTTGTGGAGCACAGGCTCAGCGGCCATGACTCACGGGCCTAGCCACTGCGCGGCATGTGGGATCTTCCTGGACCAGGGCACGAACCCGTGTCCCCTGCATCGGCAGGCGGACTCTCAACCACTGCACCACCAGGGAAACCCCGTTTCTTATATATTTTATACAGAGTAGCTTGTATCTCTTAATCCCATGCCCCTAATTTGCCCTTCCCCCCTTCCCTTTCCCCTTTGGTAGTCACTAGTTTGTTTATTGTATCTGTGAGTCTGTTTCTTTTTTGCATGAATATTCATTTGTATTATTTTTAAAGATTCCAAAATAAGTGGTATCATGGACTATTAGACTTTCTCTGTGTGACTGCTTTCACTAAGCATATTCTGTAGGTCCATCCGCATTGCTGCAAATGGCAGGATTTCATTCTTTTTTATGGCTGAGTAATATTCCATTGTATATATGTACCACATCCTCTTTATCCATTCATATGTTGATGGACATTTAGTTTGCTTCCATATCTTGGCTATTGTAAATAATGGTGCTATGAACT